AAACCATTGTGTAAGGCGAGTTACATGTATTGGATGTCGACGCTGGCGAGCTCGAATGTAACAAGTCCATCCACGGGCCAGTGTTGACGGAGCATGACCACGCGAAGCATACGTCGAAACCATTGTGTAAGGTGAGTTACATGTATTGGATGTCGACGCTGGCGAGCTCGAATGTAACAAGTCCATCCACGGGCCAGTGTTGACGGAGCATGACCACGCGAGAGCAAACGGCGGACAAGCATGGATGCTGCCGTTTTGAAATCACGCCAATTGTCACAGATCTGCTCAAACCGCGTAAGCTGGCCAGTGAACACACCTGCAGTGTGTGTGTGTGTGTCTGTCTGTGTGTCTGTGTGTGTGTGTGCCATTCTTTACCAACTGTCATTTGCTACTTTATCCAGCACCAGATGCACAGAACCAATGCTCCTCTTACCTCCGCAGCGCAGCCTCACAATATTAAGCGCCAATCAAAGATGTTGAAGAGAGAGAGGTTCACCAGACCAAGTGAACTCCACCGCCTTGAAGACGTTCAATGAAAAATGCCTCAGCTCAGTAAGCTAACATAGACAAAAGTCAATTCTAGCATGCAGAGGTCACGGCCACTAAGCTTCCGCCATAACTACTCAGCTTCTTAGTCCACTACATGGTCCTCACCATAGCCAAGAGGCTCCACTACTCCTCTGCTAAGCTTCCAGCTACCCAGGATACGCTACTCCAGTGCTCCCTCCGTGGTGCAGGCAGCATAATGACAAGGTAACGGCTCAGCAAATGATCCAGACTTTGCCATCGCCCTTTATCATCCAATAGGTATGGATGCAGCTACCAGGCTCCCTAGGCCCTTCCTGCCTGTTCTTTTATGGGAAAATGATGTTTTGCTGCTTACCTTTGCAGCTCTGTTTGCAACATTACCTGAGCACAGTCTGGAAGCGTTGACATTTCAGCATTGCTGCTGGACGATAGAAAAGACATTATCGCTGTTTGGATGCAGCTACCAGGCTCCCGAGGCCCTCCCTGCCTGCTCTTTTGCGGGGAAATGATGATTTGCAGCTCTGTTTGCAACATTACCCAAGCACCCGACGTATCTGTACCCGTATCTGTACCGATATGCTCCAGTTCCCAGTCGTCTTAGCTGTAAGCCTACCAGGGTCACCCTACTAGAGAAGTTACCTGTATGTCCCTGTCCCATCCAAACCCATCCATCTGATACCTTTCATTGTCCATCCTCCTACCAAATTCCGGTCCCGCCCTTCACAGTCTCCCGTTTCGCAGCCAGTCGTACTCCAGGACTCGGACCAAGGCACACAAGGTCAGTCACTCTTCCCTTCCCCCACAAGTACCTAGAAGACATTGCAATCGAGAACAGGGCACTCATAAAAAATAGAAACCTAACTTACCTAAGACAAAATACATTTGACTTCACAGACAAACCTGAGACAAACACAGATTTCTGCAAAAATATCAGAAAACAAAAAGCAAAGCTGCACTGGCACTCGGACTCCTTGGACTGTAACCCGCCATGCCCATTGCCGAGAGCAGGTGGAGCAAGAGAGAGAGAGAGAGAGAGAGAGAGAGAGAGAGAGAGAGAGAGAGAGAGAGAGAGAGAGAGAGAGAGAGAGAGAGAGAGAGAGAGAGNAGAGAGAGAGAGAGAGAGAGAGAGAGAGAGAGAGAGAGAGAGAGAGAGAGAGAGAGAGAGAGAGAGAGAGAGAGAGAGGAAAACAGAGAGAGAGAGAGAGGAACACAGAGAGAGAGAGAGAGAGGAACACAGAGAGAGAGAGAGAGGAACACACAGAGAGAGAGAGAGAGAGGAACACAGAGAGAGAGGGGAACAGAGAGAGAGAGAGAGAGGAAGAGATAGAGAGAGGAAGAGAGAGAGAGAGGAGAGAGGAGAGAGAGAGGAGAGAGGAGAGAGAGAGGAAGAGAAGGTTCGCAGATAACAGAGGAAGAAAACCGATTCTCTGAGAAGTAGATGCAGCCACAGCCTTCAGTGCTGAGTCCAGCGTCCCTTGTGATGTCCTGAGTGTGGCTGGGCAACCTGGTGTGCACGTTTTGGGAAAGTTTCCTCGAGTGCGATGATGAGTGATTGCAGCTGAGAGTAAGCTCATGATAGCATTTTCTAACAAAACTGTGGTGCACCTTTCAGATGCCCAGTTTGAGGAGAAAGACGTTTTCGAATAACACAGATTGACTTCATATTGCAAATCAAAACAAAAACTCGGAGAATGATAGAGCCCAACTTCTATTGAAATTCAAAATGACCCTGAGCTTGGGCTGTACAGGGGTGTTGTACCCCTTTCAACACCCCTCAAGAAGTGAAGAGAGAGTCAACGAGAACACAGTAAGGTTCCCGTTGGCACTTTTCAGCTTTCGACATAACCATTTGCACCCCCCCGCACAGCACAACAAAATGTCCTGCTGCTACATCATCGTTTCAAAGATGAGATCAAAGGATCGAATCTCGGATGCGGTGCTCGTTTCGTCAGACCAACATTGATGCGTGAGCATTTGTTTGGTGTCCTGCCAAGATCATCAACTTCCTGTGCGAATTATTTTGCATTTCCTTGTTTTGTTTCCTTCTTCTTCTCGTAACTTTTTAACTTTTGTCCGAGTTTCTGACCAACCATATACTCACGTAGTTTCTTTCTTCCTGGTATGGGCCTCGCTCCACTACTTTCGACATGTGCAAAACGAGAGTCGATCTTCCGCCAGAAGATGCAAAGATGCACCGCCAAGATTTTTGTCTTTTGTGCACCTTTCAACAAGTGCAAACCGAGAGTCAATCTTCCACTAGAACATGCAAAGATGCACCGCCAAGATTTTTGTTTTTTGTGCATGTCGCAAGTAGCAGAGCGAGGCCCTATGTCTGTCGTTCTTCTGGTTTGATGGAATCAGCATGCTGTACTTCATTGGTTGTTAGATACCAATTACCAAGCATAAAGGGAGTAAATTATGTAAATATCAATTACAAACCACTAAAAAAAAATTAAAAAAAAATAAAATTACAAACCATAAAGGGAGGTACATACTACATACCTTTCCAAGAGCCTTCAGCTCTCTGGAATGCCTCCAGCACACCACGAGCCCAAGTCGGGAATCAAGCCAGACTGTATCTTCTGGGGAGCAGGATCTGTGATATGCAACAGGGCACATGCAGCATCGCCATAGTCGGGAGTCACGATAGCTGTGGCAGGCACTGCAGATGTGCTGAGAACAGACCAGAGCAGCCCTCTTCGTGGTATAACAACCTGCTTTTTCAGCGCAATCCCTATGGAAGACCTTCTTGCAGTCCTTTCGCCCGCACTGGATGGCTTCAGCATTGTCCACAAGTCCGACCACGGATCCACAGTAAAAGCATTTCGCCTGCACAGTAAAAGCATTTTTTTCACCACAGTAAAAAGCTTTTCAATACTCACAATCAACCTGTAACAGTAGAAGCAATTTCGCCACAGTTAACGAGTGTTTTTTTTTTTTTTTTTTTTTTTTTTTTTTGAGCTTTAGAAGACAACAATTGTTTTTAATGCGCACAAACATAAGAAAGGTTAGTAGCAAAAAAGAGCCATGATAATCGGAATGAACTGTCATCACATATAGGAAGCAAGTAAATCCTGCACCTGCCTTGTGGATTAATGTTGTATACATGTAATGGTTAACAAACAGCTCATGAGTTCAAATCCTGATGGATGCAAGCAATAACGTGAGCAACTCTCTCTTTTTCCCTTCACACATGATATTATCCCTGCATTATTATTCTTTTTTCCTTTTTCTGATAGTCTTCTTCCACCTTTCACAGATTAGGTGAAAGAGATCATGGCGTTCACGTTCCTGTCTCAAATTGCCAGGTTATGGAGCTTCCCCTCTGACCTTTATGCTGTTCTCTCTCTCTCTCTCTCTCTCTCTCTCTCTCTCTCTCTCTCTCTCTCTCTCTCTCTCTCTCTCTCTCTNCTCTCTCTCTCTCTCTCTCTCTCTCTCTCTCTCTCTCTCTCTCTCTCTCTCTCTCTCACACACACACACACACACACACACACACACACACGTTATCTTACATGGCTGACAATGGCAGTCTGTACGGTCTTAACGCGATCTTTCCTTTCGTCATTTATCTCCCCACTATTCTTTTCTTTTATGTCCCAAAAAGACGTTTTTGTTTCTTCTTGGTTACGTCTTCCTTGTTTTCGTGTCTCTTTTCTCTGGAAATCACTTTTTTTCACACTAACAGACAACAACAAGAACGGGCAGCCGATCACCCCTCTCCATCGTGTAGCATAACCACCCCCCCCCCGGTCTCTCACTCCGCCCCCACCAGTGCCAATAAGAAAAGTCACCACCCGAGAAACAACTGATCTTATGATCGTAAACAGAAAGAAAAAAAAACACAAACACACCATCCCAAAAAGAAAAAGGAGGCAACTCCCAGATGGCTACAACGTTAGACACGGCCAGAAGGCGACTCAGAGGACAGGGGAGCGCAGCCTGCAGGTCCCACTTACCCAGACTATTAATCTCTACACATCGATCTCAGTAAATCCGACGGTCCAAGATAAAGACTCAAGGCGGAGGAGGAGGGAGAGGAGGAGAAGAGAAGAGTCAGGAGGAAGGAGGAGAACAAGGGAGGAGGGGAAGGTCGAGGGAGGAGAACGAGGAGGGGGGAGGTAGGAGGGGGAGGAGGGATGACGAGGGCGGCGGAAGAGGAGGAAGAGGAGGAAGAGGAGGAAGAGGAGGAAGAGGAGGAAGAGGAGGAGGGACGAGGAAGAGGGAGACGAAGAGCAATGGAAAAACAAGCACAGGTACTGAAATTGCTTGTTTGGCTGAAGGGGAAGCTAAAGTAACCTTTTGTGTGCTTCTCAAGACGTTATTAAACAGTAGAAAGGCGTGGGCGAGAACATAATGAATAATAACAATGCTAACGGATTTCCTTGTATGCATTAAGGGGGGAAGTAGTTAATATAACCTTTCTCCATTTCTTGATGGGTCAATGAACAGTAGGAAGGCGGGAGGCCGGGGTGAAAGGTTAACTCGCAATGTACTTTCTTTTCCGCTGTGGCTTTACCAGAGCTTTCTTGTGTTTATTCGGCCCTGACTTTTTCTCCCCCGCCTTAGGCGGCAAACAAAGGGTGGGAGATTAAACGACGGATCAAGAGACCACCAAAATTCTGTTAAGGACCCCGGAGGAGACAGTTGATCTCGAGAGAAGGGGTGAAAAGCTGTTCTCAGACACTCTTCGCAGAAGCGTGTACACAAGGGAGCGAAGTAGTATCTTCCTCATAGTAGGCCATTCAAGACAAACAGACTTTTTAACGAGCTAGTAATCAATAGGAGAAAGAGAGAGAGAGAGAGAGAGAGCATTTGAGACACTTTGTGCATACCTGAGAGGGCGTTCAACAGATCGCTCGTATGTGTGTGTGTGCGCGCGCGCGCGGGAGAGAGAGAGAGAGACATGTTTGACAATGTTCGCTATACACAACTCCACAAAAGGGAAAAAAAGCATGGCTGTGCCACACCGTTTCGTCGGACTTTCACCTACTCATCAGGGATGCATTTGACAGATGGAAAAGGACTCACCACGTCGCCCAGTGTTAGGTGGATACCCCTAGAGAGAAACGTGGTCGACTTTACTCACACCAACCCCCCTGCTATCCTAGCAGACTGTCGGCTGTCGGTCAAAACCCCTCACAAGAATGGCACGTGAAGAGTCCCAACGAAAAACAGAGTCTGAGAATTAGTCTGTCTCAAGCACAGCCATAAAACCCATTGTGGCTGTGAGTGTGCGCGTGTGTGCGTGTCTCCGTGTCTGCGTATGCTTGGGTGTTAGAGAGAGTGAGGGCGGGGCGGGCCCGTGGAGGGGGAGGGGCGTTGTGGGGGCGGGGAGAGAGATAGAGAGAGAGACGTCCAAGAATCAATAAGGATGCCCGTGTGTAAGTGCTTGTGCGTGTGTGAGCACGCGCGAGGGCCACAAAGAGAGAAAGAGAGGGAGAGAGAGGGAGAGAGAGGGAGAGAGAGGGAGAGAGAGGGAGAGAGAGGGAGAGAGAGAGAGAGGGAGAGAGAGGGAGCAAGAAAAATGGTTAAGAATCGTGAGAGGCTGCGTTTGGATGGACAGAAAGCATTCCCGCAAGACCGATGATAAGTTACCGTTAAAGGGTTATGCCATTACGTGAGCAGAGAGCGGTTGAGAAGTACGACTGAGAATGCGCGCCGCAGAGAGAAAGAGAGAGAGAGAGAGAGAGGAGAGAGAGAGGGAGAGGTGGAATAGAGAGAAGGCAAGATAGACGTTTGTTTGTGTGTGAGAGCCTGTGTGACCCTGCATGTCTCTCTGCGTGTGCATTGCCTGTCTTGTGTGTTGCGCTGTGTGTCTTTGTGTGTGTCTCCTTGTCTCTCTGCGTCTGTGGGTGTCTCCGTACGTGTGTACCTGTTTGTCTGCGCCTGGTTGTGTCTATCTGTGTATGTGAGAGTGTGTACTTTGCATTCGGTAAGCACAACTCCGCAGAAAGACGCGTGACACTAACGGACTGTTTCGTGACTTATCACAATCACCAAAACAAACTCGCCAACATCGTCAACCATGTCTTAACCATGTCTTAACCATGTCTTAACCATGCCTTAACCATGTCTTAACTATGTCTGTGCAGTTAAGGGCTGAGTGATTCGACATCCCTACACATCCGTTCGAGAGTGTTTTTTAATAGTTTTTATTCGCTAAAACACAATTCCACAAATGAGGGGTAACTGTGACAGACGTTCGTTGGACTCTCACCAACTCATCTGAAGATTGGAGAGAGGGAGAGAGAGAGAGAGAAGGAGAGATACAGAGCGTGGGGTTGCTCGTGCGGATGGGTACGGGTTCTACAACTCTAATCTATTCTCGTCATTTCTGACCGAGAGATACAGACACGGACGCAGAAAGACACAGAGAGAGAGAGAGAGAGAGATGAACATAACTGGAAAAGAAAGAGAGAGAGAGAGAGAGAGAGAGAGGCACAGCGAAACGGAGAAGAGCGAGACAGAGAGATAAAGACACAGCGACACAGAGAGAGAGAGAGAGAGAGAGAGAGAGAGAGAGAGAGAGAGAGAGAGAGAGAGAGAGATGAACATAACTGAAAAAGAAAACCAGTCGAGAGAGAACAAGGAAGAAGAGAGGAGCTCAGAAAGGGAAAAGTCCTCGCAAGTTAAAAAAAAAAAAAGAAAAAAAAAAAAAGAAAGATAAAAAGACCGAAAAAAAAAATCCTAACTGACCTTTCCAAGCTGGCAATCGGGGCAGATCCCAGACCGAATACTGCTCGAGCGCTGCTGATGGCTGAGCCGATGTCCCGCGCCACCGTTTGGAAGCACCGAAGGGGGGCTGATATGGCTGCTCTTCCTCCTCCTCCTCCTGGTGTTCTCTTCAAACAATTGTCCACACCCGACGCACAGACGACACTTGTGGTCGGGATCTCGACCCACGGGCATGGCGCCAGTAGCTCCTGATCTTGCACACACCTCAGAATCTCCCTGTCCTCATCCTCTCCCTGCTCTGCAGCAGAGCTCCTCTCCTTCTCCCTCTTAACCCACCCAGTCTTCGACAGGCAAGCCCCAGTATCAATAGCCACCACCAAGGCCCCCTTTCTCGAAGGCGTCCACGGTCTTTCCCCCTGTCCCCTTTCCCCCTAAGCGCGACCTCTGCCCAGTCGCGCACTTCCCCCGCGCGCGCCTTTCACTCCCGCACCTCCCCCCCTTTCCCGCCCATGCACCTTCACGCGCGGCTTTCTGACCCTCTGCCCACCGCAGACCTTGCGATGAATAGCCAATGCACAGGCGCATGCAGTTCGGCTATTCTTTTCCTTTTGTGTTTCTGGAGAATTTATAGCCGTGATGATTAGCCCGATTAAGATGCTTAGGCCAAGGGGAAACCGGAGGAAGAAGATGCGACAGTAATAACGATGCTTAGGCCACGGGGAAACCAGACGAAGAAGATGCAACAGTGAAGATGATGCAACGGTGAAAAGTCCGCTGCACCAACACCACTGCTCTGACCGTTCTCCTGAAAGCTATCCACTTTTCAGCGGGGAGATTTACTCTCTCTCTCTCTCTCTCTCTCTCTCTCTCTCTCTCTCTCTCTCTCTCTCTCTCTCTCTCTCTCTCTCTCTCTCTCTCTCTCTCTCTCT